CCACATACACACAAAGATGTTGTGTCCGCCGAAAACTAAAAAATAAAATATTAAAATTCTCTCTCTTTCTCTCTCTCTCTCTCTCAAAAAAAATTTAGCTTAAACTTTGGCAAAGAATAAACATCTAGAAAAATTGTGAACTTAGAATTTGTTGGATGTGAAAAATGCTATCTTGCTCCTATCCCTCTCTGCATGAAGATTTATTTTTCTAATGCAGTTTGTATGAGCGATCAGGACATGATGTAAACAGAAAGGAGACAAACAGAGAATTCTAGCAAGATACCAGCACCCTAGCATGGGAACGGGTATTAAAATTTATCTAGTGAAACCAACTGTGTTACTTAATTGCTTAAGTACTGGAGGAGTTGAAGCATTTCAGGGACAAAAACTCCATGTCCAAAACATTTCCACATGTAGTACCCTTATAACTAATATTCTCACCCTAAGTTCCTAATAACTCCAATATCTTCACTTCACCTCTCCACTGGCTACTTATACACCCTAGACACCATACTGCACTAGCATTTCTTTCCAAATCAATGACACACACCTCTTATTACCTCCTCCCATCCTCCATGTAACTGTCCTTTTTGAACCAGGCTTGAGTCTGTCAATCAACTCTACGACCTTTCCACTGTCTCTCACTTATTTCACATCTCCCCTCCCCTCCTCCTCTGTACTCCATTTTTAATAGATAAGTCTCATCCTGGCATTCCATCCACCTCACCAGCTTAGAAAACCCTAACAGGTCAATGCCGTCTATCTGCCTGCTCCATATGTGCCCCTGAGCACCTGCTCATATTAGAGAAAACACCTGCTTGGGTCTCACCTCAGGTTCTTGATTCTGAACCTCAAAGGGACTTTCACCACTGCCAACTCAACCTTATCCCATTTCACTTCTCTTCCACTAGACTCCTGTCTTCCTTAAGGCATCTTCGTTGGTAAAATTGTTATGTTTTCCCACGCTCTACACCTCTCAATCTCAGGATGCCCATGTGCTATGTGTTTCTGCAGAGGGATTGTCCATGCCCTCAAGTCAGGCTTCCTGTTCGTAGGCACATCTCATCCCCGCTCACCTACTCAAAGGCGGGTCTCCTGCCAACACAGTCCTTGCTCCTGTGTTACATCAGTTTAGACCCCTGCTTTAGGCCATTCTCATCAGCAAGAGAAGTGTTGTGATACCTTCAACTTTCAAAAGTGATCTTGATCCCTGCTCAGGAGCCATCCCATTTCTCTGGATTTTTATAATAAAAATCTTTAAGAAAACATTTTTCTCTTTCTATTCTCTCTTGAAGTTACTCTATCAGTTTCAGCCCCAACTTCAAACAAAATCAGAGAATGAATGATTTCTACATCACTAAATCTAATTAATGGTTAACTCTAGACCTGAAATTCCTGTTTTATTTGAACAATCGGTAGCATTTTATATGATTGTTATTTCCATCTTTCCAGAATCCCTCACTCACCTGACTTAAATCAACCCAGATAATATTTAAATACATAGTAATATTAATAATTTTTCAAAGTTAGGATTTCAATTAAATGGCTAGTTTATTTCCTCTAATACAGTGTCCAGTTTTCCTTTTTGTACCCAAGGTCTCAAGTTCATATTCTATCACATTTGAGCATCTGTAATTGGTGAGAACTTGGCATCAGGAATAAAAATCATTCTGTGCAATATAATCTTGGAACACAACCTAAATCTGTTTATTTAAAATACAAAGTCATGAGGTCAGGGACCAGATCATTGCATTTCAAATATCTTCATCTGTTTCAGTGTATGGAAAATATGTTTCTCCTGTAAAGCTTACTTAAATGATACTATACTTATAAAGTAACAGATAACATGTTTATAACTGATAGCATAGAAACCATCATATATGCATATATTTGTATATGTGTATATAAATCTTCCAAAAAAACTCATTAACAGCATAAGCTGAAGTGTTTTTTTTTAACTTCATTCAAACCATAGAAAAGAGAGAAGAAGAAAATGAATGCTAATTCAAACACTAGTTCTATTTTACTTCAAGAGGAAATAAAAGATATTTAAAGTTTGTATACATGGGGGACAGTTGCTAATAAATAGGTTCTAGTAATTTTACTATGGATACACTGAATATTACATAATCCATTAGCAACATAAATTTTATGTGTACTCTTCCACTTGTTGAGATAAAACTAAAATGTATATGGTGCTTTCCTTTGATAATAATTGCATCTTTCCATAGTTTTAAGAGGGCATGGTCACTAAGTAGTCATCAACATCACACATTGAAAAGAAATCAAGGAGAGTCAACGTGCTCCTGATAACATTCCCAAGCACTTCAAGTATTTCTATTGTGTACAGTGATCTTTGCTGAAAACCTGTAATGAAATTTCCTCTGAGAAATCAAAAGATACCTTCTCTTTAATGTTTTTTAAAATAAGAAAGAAAGCTGTGAGTATTGAAGAGGAGGCAAAACAATTCAAATGTAAAATCTGCTCCTTATTTTTTCTCTACAAGCATTTTATTTGTACTTGTTTTTAGTAAATCTCTTCCACAGACCCAAATATTTATTTGCCTTTCATTTGTTACCTACCATGAACCAGGTATCAGGCTTGATGCAGATGACAAATATGAACTCACACACAGGTGCCCACACACACTGAAACCTATTGTCCCTTCCTCAAGTGATCCATATTTTCATACTTTATTAGAAAAATAGCATAGAACACTGTAAACACCTCCCTGGTAGTCAGAGACACAGATCCACAAGGCCAGATATGTCTCCGTAACAATTACTGTTCCTTATTTTCATCATTGATTTCTGTTCTCTATTGCCAAAGAAAAGAGTGGAACACTTGATAGAATTGTGATTGATTGGCTATACGGAATATTGAAATTGATCTTTGGGTTGTTGTCTCCCTTCCTCCTCTTTGTACCTTATTAATTCAATGCCCATTTCAAAACTCTCTGTTTAACTTCTACCAGATTCACATTCCTAAAATACCAGCATAGCACTGTGAACATACTCTGGAGCCAGAAAGACAGTGCCTGCAACCCTGGCTCCGGCGCTCACTGTATCTGTGGCTGTAAGTAAATGATTTGACATTTCTGAACACCAGATTTCTTCATGTGTAAATGAAGGTAACTTGTAAAATGAAGTTCAGTTTACTGCAGAGCTATCAGAATTGAAGACATGTATGTCAATCACCTTGCACACAGGAAACACCATCTGTGTTGGCAGGATATGCTGCTGATGGTGAGAATGAGGTTAAGGATGATATACTCCAGCTCAGAAACTTGCCATCACCCTCACTGAAGGATATATAAAACTTGAAACATTGTGTGAATTTTAAGATTTCCACAAACATTTTCTGCTCCACCTATGTGGAGCACAATGTCAACTATTCACAAAGTGCATTTTTCATGTTCCGATCTCTCAGATTACTTCCCACTATTCTTCCATGCTTTATGCTAATTAGTGCCTTTAAGTTGACTGCTTCCTCAAAGTAAGAATATTTCTCTTGTTTTGAGCACCTATCTAAGTTTCACTAATTTTTCAATATTCATCAGAAAGTTGAACCTCTTTCAAAGTCTCATGAGTTCCTCTAATACTAACATCTCTGCTAAAAATAAAACTTTTTAAGATTTTGATGGATCTCAATTAACCTTGTCATATCAGCATAAAAATAAGGCACTTTTTCAAATAAAGGTGACCTGAGAATATTTTTCATATATTTAAGAATCATACTCATTATCTTTCTGCCTCTAAGAATTAGCTAAAATACATAAATTAAAGGTCATATCCACTGTAAGAGGCAAGAAGCTCTGTACCTGGGATGAAGCAACTGTTGAAGCCAATGAACATGCAGAATTCAAAAGAGAAACCAAAAAATAACATTATTTCACAAGAAAACTATTTTTAAAGTTTCTGAAAAATAATGTTTCTGAAAAAAAAATTCACATAAACTATTTCTCCATATATTTTAAGTCCAGATTGCAAAATGACACAAAACCTATAAATATTGTCTGACTAACTTATTAAATTCCTTTCCAATTTACTATTTCTCAAAAATGTGGGAAAAATAGAATTCAAGAACATTTAATGTGTACATAAGGACATTTATGGATAACAAAAAGATTATAAAAAACAGAAAAATGGGTATTGATGTAAATAAGATTATAAAGAAATATCATTATATAGTTTGGTGCCTTATATTACTTAAACATTTCTAATTGTATCTTTTATTTTAAGAATATCTTCCTCATATTTATGTCCAACTGATATACCCACTGGGCATTTATTTGATAATTTATCTTTGTAGAAAACATAAGCAAATTCTTCCCAATTGATTATAGAGAGTTTTTTTACTTTAACCCTGCAATTTATTTCTGTATAATTGAACATCAATTTCTTTTCTTTGCTCTTAAATACAAGATTTTATGATTTTATTCCATGTCTCTAACTCTTCCACACTATACAGGTAACATATAAAACAAAGACAGTATTAGGGCAATATTTAAAGTATACTTTTCTGTTAAGGATGAAAGGAATTTAGCATGAAGTCTCATGAAATGAAAAGTGCATAGACTTTGCATGACAATTTCACAGTTTTTACTACAAGAATACAGATTACTTCAAACACATTCATTTATATGCACATGGAACTAGAAAGTAAGGATTCACTATCAACCAATTCTATGACTGTCTAAAATTGGAGTTGAATTTTTACCTGAGTTTTGTTTAGAATATAGTTTTTTTTATATAAAGACAGAAAATGCATGAAGCTGTCAGAATAGATAATACCTACAGTGGAAAAAAAGGAAGGGAAGCAAAGAAATCAACTGTATTTTAAAAAGAACCCCCAAATCCTGCTTCCAGACCTACAGCAAGTAGCTTTCCTCTATATCTTATAAGCAACTGTCTTTTCCTTTGCTCTGAGAACACAGGCTTTGCCTAGCAGGAAAGTATGAAAATTAAATAGAAAACCAGAAGGTTATGAAATTCTCTTACCCTCTGGGCTTGCGGGACTGCGCTAGCGTCTCAGTTGCAGACACATGTGTAAACAAGAGAATTTCCTGCATCCTTTTCTCATCTGAGCAGCTCCGGGGTCCTGGCCAACGGGATTATTCCAGTATTAAGGACACCCCACGCTAACTCCAAAAGGATTCCCATTGGTTGTGAAGTTCTCTCAAAACCGATACCACAACACCCTCTTTGGATCACAAGTAAGATAACCAAAATAAAATAATTTCAATGTTCTCAAAGTATTAAGTATTGTTATTCAAAGCTTTCCAGACAGCCCATTTGAAACTATGTTCTGTGAGCAGAAAAGGAAGAAAATACCTACCTCCTCATTCACACGTATATTTAGTATTTAATAATAATAACTTCTAAAAATGGAAAAGCCTAAAGCTAAAATGACAAAAACTATTAAAGCCCCTATCTGGAAAATAGCTAAAGGAAAATTCTACTGCAGGTCATAGAACAATGGAAAATATCACTTGTTCAATTTGGTTTGCATTAAATTGCCAAAAAAAGAAAAAGAAATCCTATTTAATAAAGTATTTGAGAATACAACTCATAATACAAAAACTATCTGTCAATCCTTTGATCTTAGTCATGTTGGCAGGGAATGTGACCTGCCGTCCCCAGGACTCACAGGAGAGTTCTCTGGCCTCTTCCCAGGGGAAGGAGTGGCTTTCCAGTGACATGACTCAGCTGTCAGGAAGTGTTGTGATGAGGGGTGCTGGCAGACCACGGAGAAGAGAGCTTTCCTGGCTGACAGAGGACACAATTCCCGAAGGAAAAGAGCAAGGGCAGAGGAGACAATCAGTATGCTCCTCATGAGTGACACCAGGACAGCTTTGGAAATTAGGAAGTAAATGTCAAGTAAATGAGTTTATTCTTCCACCTTTTAATTTGGAGGATTATTCTTAGCTGAATATCAGGGTTTTTAAAAAATTTTTTTTTTAGTTATAATTGGACACATACCTTTATTTTTTCTTATTTATGTTTATGTGGTGCTGGGGATCGAACCCAGAGCCCCACACGTGCGAGGTGAGCACTCTACCACTGAGCCACAACCCCAGCCCAGCTGAATATCAGTTTTTATCCTTTATTTCTACTTCACAACATCCTTTCCTTCTCATTCCCTGATGCAGTGGAAATGTGACCTTTCTCCCTATAGAATCAACAAACTCTTTTGAGCTATCTGGCTCCATCGCACTTCCCTTTGTCTTTGAATTCTCCCCCTCCCTGGACTTCCCCATGGGATTTTAAACACCATAAAGTCCTCAGGTGATTTCACTTGTGCCAATAAATTTTACTTTCCATCTAGTCATTTTCATTTGCAGGAACTTTTTGTCTCTCCTTCATAGTCAAGTGATTGGAAGAGCTCTCCCCAGCCAATAACCCCATTTAATCTGGATCCACTTCCTTTAATGCATCAAAGTAATCACACACACACAAGCCTTTATGTGAAAAAAAGATAATGTTTACAAACTCTGTTCTGTCCTCACTTTAACGAATCTATGCAGCCCTTGGATGCCCTTCGCAACCCTGTCCAAGCTTACCTTGGCACAACACTCTCCTGACCTTCATCTCTAGCTGCCTTTTCCCACCTCCTTTGTGGTGTCCATTCTCCTCCCATCCTTTGTTAGACATCAGGTAGGTTCTCAGATAAACATATACGCATTCTCTCTCTGGTTAGTGTCAAACATGCTCATGGTTTCAATTACCATCTCTATTTTTCAGATGACTTCTCAATATCTGTCTTTGGGCCCAATCATCTTCTGAGTCTCTAATACTCATTCACTAGCACATTGTGCCCCTGCACTAGAAAATATCACAGATACGGAACCAACGTGTTAAATCTGAAGTCATCATCATGCCGTGGGCCTACTATGTTATACCAATAAATACCAACAGAGTTTATAGATGACTAAACAAAAATCCTGGAAGTCACCATGACTCCTGTTCTACACCCACTCCAATACCAGTTCCTTGCGATTGTCATCAATAACTTCGCCATTCTTCTCTCTTCTCACTGCCACTACCCTGGTTCAAGCACATAACCATTCCGAATCACTGCAGTGTCCTCTTAAATCTCTTCTCTGCTCCCAAACTTGCTCTTCTTGTTGTTCAGTGAGAGATACAGTGGCCTCCATCCAGTTCACATACTACTTGACACTCAGAAGATTTCTAATCCTCTGGTCAACTCTCTCCTTCTCAAGCTTCTCTTATTTTCCAGAATGAAGCTTTTCGGTATTTTTTTTTTAATCTCTTACTTATATCATGCACTGATCCCTTCTTTTTTTCTTTTCTCTCCTCAGTATTGGAATACCTCCAGAGAACCATCAGTGGTTCTGTTCTTATTCCAGGGTTATCACATCTATTTTTGAGGCTTTCTTTTATTATATATATCATTGCAGATTGCATTGTGAACTCCAAAAAGATGTGCTGAAATCCTACCCAATGCCTATGGATATGACCTACTTAGAAGTAGTATCGTTACAAATGTAATCAAGTTCAGCCATGCAGGATGGGGCCAGAGCTAATCCAATGTCTGGTTCCTTGTAAAAAGAGGGGCATTTGAACCCACACCGTGGGGGTATGCCGTGGCAAGACAGAAGCAAAGATCGGGATGATGCATCTACAAGCTAAGGACTGCCAAAAACCACCATCAGCCAGGAAAAGAGAAGAATGGTCTCTCCTCAGGCCCTCAAGAGAGAGCACAGGTCTGGGTGACTCTCCATTTTGGACTCCTAGCCTCCAGAACTGTGAGACAAGAACTGCCCCTTGGTTTAAATCACAAGTTTGTGTAATTGGTTACAGCAGCCCTAGTAAACTAATATACATAAAATTCCAAATATACAAGATATCCTCATAATAGTGCCTCGGCCTTCAGATCTGTACTTACAACAGTCTAATGAAATATTCACTAGGAACCAGTCAAATCTCAGTGACACCAAATCTCTTGTATTTCTTCCAAAAACTTTCACAGTATTTCCATCTTAAGATACTATCACCCCACACTCCCTCAATCATTTTGTTATCCCTGAGTCCTTACACTACTCTGCCCCTCAAATTTAGTAACTCAGCTTTGTACTAAAACTTGAACAATCAGTTTATGTCTCTGTCTCTGCTTCATCTTCTTCCGTCTTTGCAGAACCTGCACCAGTCAGGATTTTGTCTCACTACAATTTTTTACAGGAGGTTCCTAAATTACCATCTAGTGAACTCTGACTGTGAATGGGGGCACTGTCTCACTTGCAGCTTCCTCAAGTGAAGGATCATGTTTTCTCACACAGCCCCACCTCCCTTGGGGCCAGACAGTGGAGTGGGTGTCCTGCTTCACAGTTACTGCTAGGTCTGGTTCTCAGGTTCTTTGTTCACTGGTAGCATGGTACTTACCACCATCAAGGAGACAGTAATCCAGGGTCTCCATCCTAGCTCAAAGGGTACATTGAAACCATGATCCATAATCTACATGCATACACACACACACACACACACATACACAACATACACACACACACACACACACACACACCACTTGCATTACCTGAACATTCCATCTCACGTAACAATCGCCAGGAATATAAGAAAAAAGGGGGAAAAAAGTATGGGGAAATGAAGTCTTGGACTTTTCATAATTTGTTTTCAATGTCTTGAGGCACTCAGCTCATATCAGTGAGGATTGATTTTTATTCTTCTTGAGTGGATTCTAATTTTATTCCATACACTACGCCTTCCCTGTGGATTCTGCTATTTGCCTATCCAATATCATTTCTCCCCTTCTTTTCCAACAATAAGAATTTTATTTTTGTTTAACTCAACAATGTGATTAATTAAAGAAATTGCGATCTAGCTTCCTGTACAAATGCACTTGGCTGGGCAGTAAGTTTTGCCAATGAAACGTAAGTGGAAATCTAATGAGCATTTTCAAAAAAACAAAACAAAACTGCTCAAGATGCCAACCCATTTCTTCTTTTTCCTTTTCTTCTTCCTGTCTTGAGAGGTCAGCAGGCTGAAGGTGGAGAAGCCACTGCCGAATGACAGTGCTGTCCTGGGCCCCTGATTCCTGTGGAAGACACAGAGTGAGAAGAGCAGAAGGAGCCGGGCTGGCACAGCTCTCAGTGTTGGGGGGAAGGTGGTCATCTGGCTAAGACACTGTCGGGTTTCTCCTGGGGCCTTCTTACTGAGTCAGGAGCTGCTTCAGGCTGAGGGAAAGTGGTCATGGTCTCTGCTGGAGAAACAATGGGAAATAACTATTAATCAAAACTGATTTTATTCCAGGTCATTATCCCCTAACTGGGAGGTCCAGAAGAAAGCATAAAATTGAAAACTCATACCACAACCTCCACCCAGATATACATCCATCTCTTACCCTGCTGTGAGGCATTTCCTCATTCCCACGACTCAGGGTTAATGCCAAAGCTCTGCACTTAGTTACATGCTTTGCCTCAGAGACAATAAATTTCCTAAGGAGGTAATATTGTATTTGTCTTTGGGTCTTTTGCAAATAGACAAGTTAGTCAATGGACAAATGGCTGAGAGTATAAATGGTAAATGAATTGATGAATGAATGCTCTATGAGTGCATTGAAGAAAATAAAAATAATGAGAATATCTGAGAATTGGAGAAGTTGTAGAGAAAATAAATTAGAAAAAAAACATGCCCTTATAACAGTGAAAAGGTCCATGGAGATGTTTAAATTTCTCCTACCATTTCTCCCTGCTTTTACAAATTAAAAGAATTAATAGGGCCAACATCATGCATATGTGCTTCTCCCAGACAACTTTTAAAAAATAGAAATACTAACCAAGTAAGACAAATAGAATTTTCTGTGGACCTTAGTAACTATTTAAACTAAGCCATACTTTTAAATTTTAAGTGCCACAATTTTAATGGTTTTAACAGTATTCGAAACGTGACAGTGTCAGGAAATGTGACAGTGTCAGTAACTGAAAATTTCTTGTAAGGAAGTCAATTGTGATTTTGACTGAGAATCAGTAGGTGGTTTAGAATTGTGATTAGAAACACACATTTACAAAATTCACAAAATTCCTCAGCCACAGCTCTGATGTTACAAAGTTGTGGATGTGTAACCGATGTGATTCTGCAATCTGTAATTGGGATAAAAATGGGAGTTCATAACCCACTTGAATCTAATATATGAAATATGATATGTCAAGAGCTTTGTAATGTTTTGAATAACCAATAAAAAAAATTAAAAATTTTTAAAAAATTAAAAAACAATCAAGCGGGTGGACTGGGAGGTCATGGTCTTCTATTAAGCTAACTAACCTGTCCCCA